GGGGGGGGGGGGGGGCGCGCTGTGTCCCCGCAGCATCCCCCGGGAGGGGCGGTGGATCCCGGGTGCAGGGCGATGGAGAGGGGGGCGGGCAGGGGGCTCCGAGGGGCGCGGCGACCCGCCGGGCAGGGGCAGGCGAGCCGAAGTGCTCCCCCGGCGAGGCGGATGCTGGCAGTTCAAAGTCGGGGTCCCTGCCCCCGAGTAAAGCATCCTCCATCCAAAGCCGTGGGTGGAGGCTCTTCCCCCGAGTAAATGCTGAAATACTGCGGTATCATCCCTGGAGCTTCAGTACGACCAGGTACTATTATTATCAGGTGTCACACCTGCAGCTTCAGTCCATCCCATTTGTGCGCAGGAGATGCTGTCACTCCAGCATTCAGCTGTGGGGGGACAACCCAAAGGGTGGAACTGGAGCAGACTGAGCATGTTGCCATTTATCTAACGTTACAATATAAGCCCTTTTGTTAAAATCGTGTAAAACCATGCACAGACCCGACATGGATTTAAAACTGGTTTCCATCAAGTTTACCTTGCTGCAAACCAAATTTAAGTCAAGAGTGCAAGGTGAGACAGTTTATGCTGATTAACGTTTATACTGATTAAAAGTGCCCTCCAAGGGCTTAAAGCAGGCTTCGGTTTTTAACAAAATTGCAGGTTGCATCAGTGCAAAATTGCACATGGACAAGGTGGGTAAACATGTTCTAACTTTGGCAAGTTCATGTATTTATTTTCTCCTCTGTCCATAAAGAAATTGGAAAACTGAGGTCACAGAAGAATGTTACTAAAGGAAGGACATTATTTAAGGCCACAATATTTCTTTACCTGTAGTCCAGCTGGATTTTAGCACATCTTTTCTTTTACTTCAACAGTTGGATGCACAATCTTGTGAGAAGTATTTGTGGAGCATTCTACCTGCAAGTTCACCATTCTCAAATTTGTAGCTTATGTTGTACAACTTAGAGCATATAAATCATTGAACATCTTTTGGTGATTAAAATTTGGTTTGATCTGGGCATGTTTAATGTGGCCTTCTGCCTTGTTTCATCATCCTCGGTCATTCCAATAGGGTGATACCCAAAGTAACAGGTTCAACCAGGGAAAATACTGTTTATTCAGCATTTACACTGCACGGCCAGCTAGGATATGCATGAGATCTCTGTAGCCTAAGCCAGAAGTGCTGAATTCACAGCTCAACCTTGTCAGGACAAATTATTTAGCCTAAAATCTCACTTTCAGCTGTTCTCTTTCTTGTATGCCTTTGGGTATGGGCAGGGAAGGACTTGCCTACTGGATGAGATCTTCTAACAGCAGCAGCCTGCTCCTACCTGCCTTTTTTCATTTTGCTTGTTGGGAGCTGGCAGGAGTCAGGTTTGGAGTAGTTAGAAGTAGTTATTTTTCTGGCAATATTAAAGGGCTTAGTTGGCCTTGAAAAATTAAACCACATCTCTTCTCCGCAGTTCAATTGCTTTCAGCTATTGCTGTCTTAGAGCTCCTTGATTTGTATCATGACCTGTAAAATACGATCACTAGAGAGAACAGTCCAAAAGTTTGCTGTAAAAGCACAGCCGTTGGCTGCTCTGGCACATGCAGTGTAATCCACGCATAGTACCACTGATTTGTATGCTTCAAGTGAGCACTTCCAGGATTTGTTGGCTTTACTGCCTCTGGTTTGATAAATTTTAATGCACACATTACATTAAGTAACATTTCAGTGTCTAGCCTCTGCCTGCCCTGAGATGTTCTGTGTCAACTCTGCAGTCCATAAGCAGCGTGCTTGGTTCCAGCAATACTGCAGAGTATTTCTTTCACAGAAATGTCCTGAAGATGTTAGGAAGCTGATCAGCAAAGAAATTAAAATGAGAAATAATCCCAAGACCGGCAAGAAAAAAAGCACTTTATGCCCTTAGCCAGATGATAAAGTGAGATAAGAAGGGGTTTGTTGGAGAGATTGGTAAGGACTTCTTGTCTTTTGGTGGTAACTCCATAGGGACTAAAGAATGAGCCATCTATCACAGAGACAAACATCAGACAGCACAAACAGTTCCTGAAGACAAACTCTTTCTAAAACTGAAAGGCTCAAAAGAACTTTTTCCTTATTCAAATTTTTAGTTTCCACAATGCTGTATTCCCCGCCCCCCACACCCCCCCAGTTCTGAGTTTGGCCATATACATTCCATAAGCTACTTCAGCTGCAAAATAGACCTTAGTGATTCAATGAATTTCTTTCCCATGAGTCTTTAATGACACTATTTAAATACGAATTCTATTTTATAGAA